GCCCACACATCCCTCCATCCATCCCTGTCCACATCCCTCCATCCCCACACACATCCCTCTATCCATCCATCCTCCCACCCATCCATCCCTGTACATAGCCCATCTATCCCTCCCTCTCTCCCCACACACGTCCCTCTATCCATCCCTCCATCCGCCCACACATCCCTCCATCCATCCCTGTCCACATCCCTCCATCCCCACACACATCCCTCTATCCATGCATCCATCTCTGTCCACATCACTCCATCCCCACACACATCCCTCTGTCCATCCATCCATCCCTGTCCACATCCCTCCATCCCCACCACACATCCCTCTATCCATCCATCTATCCCTGTCCACATCCCTCCATCCCCACACACATCCCTCTATCCATGCATCCATCCCTGTCCACATCACTCCATCCCCACACACATCCTTCTGTCCATCCATCCATCCCTGTCCACATCCCTCCATCCCCACACACATCCCTCTATCCATCCATCCATCCCTGTCCACATCCCTCCATCCCCATACACACCCCTCCTCCATCCATCCGCATACTCTATCCCTCCCTCCCCATACACACCTCTATCCCTCCCTCCCTCCCTGTCCTCATCCCAGCTATCCCTCCCTCCCTACACACCCCTCCTCTCTCCCTGTCTTCATCCCAGCTATCCCTCCATCCCCATACACACCCCTCTATCCATCCATCCATTCCTGTTCACATCCGTCCATCCCCATACACATCCCTCCTCCCTCCCTCCCCGCTCACACCTCTATACATCCATCCCTTCCTGTCCTCATCCCAGCTATCCCTCCATCTCCCCACACACCCCTCCTCCCTCCCCATCCATCCTCCCACCTGTCCATCCCTGTACATCTCCCATCTATCCCTCCCTCCCTCCATCCCCACACATCCCTCTATCCATCCATCCATCCCTGTCCACATCCCTCCATCCCCATACACACCCCACCTCCATCCATCCGCGTACACTCCTCTATCCATCCCTCCCTCCCTCCCTGTCCTCATCCCAGCTATCCCTCCCTCCCTATAAACACCCCTCTAGCCATCCATCCCTCCCTGTCCACATCCCCCCATCCCCACCCACACCCCTGCTCCATCCATCCCCATCCAGGCATCCGTCCACATGCATACCCATCCATCCATCTCCATACAAAACCATCCCCAGACACCTCCCTCCTTCATCCTTCCATCCCCACATCTCCATCCATCCTGCCCTCCACACACACCCCTCTATCTAAATTACCCATCACCCTGGGGTCTGAGTCTCTTGTCCCAAGGGGAGAGAAGGGGTTCTGCCCCAATGGCCCACGGAGCCCTCAGAGAAAGGCTGGGGGAGGTGAGGGGTCCTGCCAGGGCAGGTGTTAGCCAGAAGTGACGCCTGTCACGATGACAGGACACCCGCTGGAGAAGATGAGAAAGAACCGAGGGGGCTCTCGGCAGCTTTGCGGGGATCCCAGCTTTTCCCTTCACTCCTGGATGGTCTCCAAGCCGGTGTCACTCATTCCTTACCTGGAACCTCCTGTTCCTCGGAGCCCTGGAGATCCGGGACGCACGGCTCTTCCTCCCGCTCCATCCAGGAGATCACAGCCGGTTTGGGGACGGGAAATCCTGCCAGTGGGGGGAAAGCAGGTTGTTATCTATTCATCAAGGCCCACTAAGAACGTTCATGGAGATCCTTTAGGAGAACGGAAGAAGCAGTGGCATGTCCGTGCACTAAAGTCCATGGTAGGACACATGTGGGGATGTCCACATGCAATCAGAATATGTAATCTTAACTGTATTGTTATGATCGTACTATAATGTAATTCAAGACAATACACGCAAAATGCTTTCACTATTACATAATAATCAAAACATTTGCTAGTATATTATAATTATATTACATTGCTGTAAGAGTCACTGACCCCGAATAGGGAAGTGGCAGGAAACTAGGTTATAATATAAAATATAATATGATAGAATATAATACGGCTTGGCAGAATGAATTTTTTTGATGATTTTGACAATGTCAATGTTTATTTTAAAACTTTTTTTAGATTTTTATCAATTAAAATGTGCACAACTGTGCAAAATTAGGGGTTTAAAGCGGGGTTTTTTTTTCCAATTTTCAGTTATGGGAAATTTTTGGGTGGGGGAGGTCAGACAGTAGATGCTGCAACTAAAAAGTTAAAGCTTTATGTTTGCTAGCCACAAATTGTCAATGTCAAAATATCCAAAGTAAACATCCACTCATTCAAAGGTCTAACCAGGGATCGGCAACCTTTGGCATCCGGGCTGGGCGTTTACCTGCCGCGTTGGCAGGTTTGGCCGATCGCGGCTCCCACTGCCCGCGGTTCGCCGCTCCAGCCAATAGGGGCGGCGGGAAGCGGCGGCCAGCACATCCCTCAGCCCGCGCCACTTCCCGCGCTTCCCATTGGCCTGGAGTGGCAAACCACAGCCAGTGGGAGCTGTGATTGGTGGAACCTGCCGATGCGGCAGGTAAACAAACTGGCGCAGCCCGCCAGGGCGCCTACCCTGGGGAGCCGCGTGCCAAAGGTTGCCGATCCCTGGTCTAAACCATTGGATTTTGCCCGTAAAGTCTAACTTTGCCTCTCTGTAAATTTTGATTATTATCAATGGAAATATTTTTTCGTTGGTTTGTGTGTGTAGGGGAAAATCAACATCTACCAACATTTAATGATAGAAACTGAATCCTTCCAAGCCCAATTTTTATATTATTAATTATAATTATATTATATTACACAAGCCAAAACAATAAAGGGAATTTTTTTTTTACTTTTGTTATACATTAATTGTAACAGAGCTGAATAGAATATGAATGGATACATATTTTGGCACCCCACTACGGTGACCAGATGTCCCAATTGTATAGGGACAGTCCTGATATTTGGGGCTTTTTCTTATATAGGCTCCTATTACCCCCCCACCCCCGTCCCGGTTTTTCACATCTGCTATCTGGTCACTGTACACCCCACCCCAATTTTGTCACAGAAAAACAGTAAGAAATGAGGGGAAAGGAAACTTACAAAAAATTCCATTTTCTTTTTTCGTTTCATTATAAAAAGATTATTTTAAATAAAACCCAAAATACTGGTTTTGAAAATGTTTATTTGTGAGGATTTTTTTATTTGTTTTCCCCCATTTTTTAATTTTTCTACAGTAAAAGGGGAGGGGAAGGAAAGAAAAATGGAAATTGAAAAATCAACCCCATTTAGTTTCATTTAAAATAAAAAAACTAAAATTTTCCATGATGATTCTTTGGTATTTTCCCATTTTCCCCTCCTATTTTACTACAGAAAAAATGGGGAGGAAGTGGAGGGCAGGGGAGGAAACTAGAAAAACCATGTCATTTTCTAATTTAATCACAAAAAAAACCCATGGAATTTTTAAAAAATTAATCAATTTTGAAAATGTTCATTTTTTAAAATTTGCGGGATTTTCCCCTTCATTTGTTTTGCCACAGTAAAGGAGGAGGAATTGGAGAAAAGAAACTTGAAAAACAGTGCAATAGTTTCATTTTCAACTTTTTGTTTTTTAAAAAGTGCTTTTTTTTAAACCTAAACATTTTCCGTGAACATTTTGGGGTTTTAAAATGTTCATTTGCTAAACTTTTCCTTTTTTTTCCACCTTTTTCAATTTTCCACAGGAAAAAAGGGTTGGACAAGAAGCTTGAAAAACTGATGCCATTTAAATGTTTTCAGTTTTGTTTTAAACAAAAAATGATGTTTTAAATTTCCATTCAAATTTCCAATTGTAAAATGAGATGATATCTTTTATTGGACCCGCTTCTATTGGTGAGAGAGATACACAGAGCTCTTCTTCAAGTCTTCTTTGACCCAGCTACAATACCGCATACAATTGTCAAACGTTCACTTTTTCATACTTTGGGGGGTTTCCCTCTTCCCTTCCCATTTTGCTGCAGAAAAAGAGGAATAAATAGAAAAAAGAAAAGTGGGGGGGCGGGGAATCATTTGCCACATTTTTTAAAATAAAAGAATTAAAAAAATAAAAAATTTTTTTTTCCATGAACATTTTTTGTGTTGAAAATTGTTCGTTTTTTAAATATTTTGTTTTTTCACATTTCCATTTCCCACTTAAAAAAAAACACGCCAGCATTAAAAGAAAACCGGTGACATTTTTCTCAGTTGAAAATTGTTCATTTATGACATTTCCCCCCCTTTTTCTTCTGTCACCAGCAACGGAGAAATGGGGAGAAATGGAAAACTGAAAAAAACACCTCCATTGTTCATTACACACTACTGTCAAAAAAAAAATCCCGAAAAAATTGTTTTTTTTAAAAAACACCAAATATTTCATGAAATTTTGTTTTTAAAGGCCATTTCCCAATAAATCTGTCAGTCCAGAAATTTCTGCCAGCTCCAGCTGCAAACGTGTTATCGTGCAGAGAGGAAGGGTGGCCCAGAGGTTATAGGGGGCGAGCCAGAAAACCTGGGCTCAATTCCCTGCTCTGCCCCACATTTCCTAGATAACCATGGGCAAGTCATTTAGCCGCTCAGAGCCTCAGTTTCCCCATCTGTACAAGGGGGCTAAAAGCCCTGCCCCACAGGGTGGTGTGAGATTAAACGCGCTAGAGAGCATGAGGTGCTCAGACGCTATGGTGCTGGAGCCAGATAGATCCTGGCTTCGTTCGACAGTTATCTGGCCCGTAGCTAGCAGGCGTTGGCGTCTCCGTGTACGGTGTTTGCACGTGTCCGCACGGAGGCGCGTCAGTGCCACGCTCGGTCACGTCAGCAGCAATGCTTTCTGGGGAGAGGCAACCCAGAGTTTCCGGTGCCACTCTGAAAGGGATCGGGGTGATCAAAGGTGGCCCAGTGGGGCATTGTGGGAAGAGTGGAGGGGGACCCCAAGGGAATTGTGGGAGGAGCACGTGGACAGGGAATTGTGAGAAGGGGGAGACCCAGATGCATTGTGGGAAGGGATGCGCAGGGGCATTGTGGGAAGGGGGAACCAAGGGGCCCTGTGGGAAGAGCAGGACGGGAGTCCAGGGGCACTGTGGGAAGGGGGAGCAGGGCGGGAGCCCAGGGGCACTGTGGGAAGGGACAGTGGGGGGAGCAGGTTGGGAGCCATGGGGCACTGTGGGAAGGGACAGTGGTGGGGAGCCCAGGGGCATTGTGGGAAGGGGGGAGCAGGGCGGGAGCCCAGGGGCACTGTGGGGGGAGCAGGGCAGGAGCCCAGGGGCACTGTGGGAAGGGGCAATGGGGGGAGCCCAGGGGCACTGTGGGAAGGGGCAGTGGGGGGAGGAGACGGCCCAGGAGCTGCATCACGTCACAGGAAGGGGCCGTGGGGTCACAGTCTCTCTGCCGGCGGCCCTGGGGTGCCGCTGCCGCCCCTCACCCAGTGAAATGGCATCCCCATAGTTCTCCTGCATGACGTCCCGGTAGAGCTCCCTCTGCCTCTCATCCAGCAGAGCCCACTCCTCCATCGCAGCCCCCAGCACCTGCAAGGAGAGACGCACCCCAGGTCAGGGTCCCTGATTGCCCCTGGCTGGGCAGCACCGAACATCTAGGGGGCTGGGAGCCAGAGCGGGAGGGGCTCCCTGCACATGGGTGGTACATACTGGGGGAGAGATAACTGGATGAAAAGAATTGGGGGGCTGGGGGGAGAAAGAAAGAGCAGTAGATGGAGGGAGCAGGGGATTCATGCCCCGAGGGGCGGGCGGGCAGAGAGGACACTAATGGGGTGAATAGGGGCAGAAAGGCCCATCATGTCCAATGCAACATCCAGTGGCGGGCGACACCGGGAACCTCCCAGCACTGGCCCTGATTGAGTTGGGGCGACCCTGCTGGGCTCAGCTGCAGAGACACCCCCCCGTGCACCCCCAGACCTGACTGAGGGGGGAGCCCGCTGGGCTCAGCTGCACAGGCCCCCATCCCCATGCATCTGCAGAGCTGGCTGGGGGGGGCCCTGCTGGGCTCAGGGGCACAGCCCCCCATGCAACCCCAGAGCTGGCGGGGGGCTGCTGGGCTCAGCTGCACAGACCCCCCCACGAACCCCCAGAGCTGGGTGCGGGGTCCTGCTGGGTTCAGCTGCATGGCCCCCCGTGCACCCCCAGAGCTGGCTGGAGGGGCTGCTGGGCTCAGAGGCACAGATCCCCCCATGCACCCCCAGAGCTGGCTGGGGGGGCTGCTGGGCTCAGAAGCACAGACCCCCCCATGCAACCCCAGAGCTGGCTGGGGTGGGGGCTGCTGGGCTCAGCGGCATAGACCCCCCCGTGCACCCCCAGAGCTAGCTGGGGGGGGCTGCTGGGCTCAGCTACAGAGACCCGCCTGCACCCCCCCAGAGCGGCCTGACCCCCCCCCCCCCAGCTGATCCCCTCCGAGCACTTCCTACAGGCTGCAATTTCCTGCCTCTCTCCTGCTGTTTCGCTCCCTGCCCTCTGGCCACCGCCCCCCAGGGCCCGGCCGCCCCCAACTCACCCCGGCTCCCTTTGCAATCCCCTCCCCCCCCCACTTTGGAGGGGGATTTCGGTGCTGGGGATGGGCCCCCCCCTGCCCCTGTGCACAGCCGAGCAGGCTGGGAACAGGAAGTTGCCTTTGTTATTAAATTCCCCCTGCACGGGGCTGTGCGGCTCCAGCCCGGCACTTTTCTAGCCAGCTGGAGGACTCGGCGCCTCTATCCATTTAACTCTTCGCAGAGCTGGGGCAGCCGGGTCCCAGAGCCCCTCCCCCCCCCCCCCGGGAACATCTGGGGCAGAGGTGCCAGGATAGTTCATGTGGATGGGCAAAGGAGAAATGCAGTGATCTAGCTACCAGCCTGCCAGGGCTTGCTGTGTGCCAGGTCAGAGCCCGGCACCGCTGGGCCCGGCCGTTCACAGCCCCGGCACCGCTGGGCCCGGCCGTTCACAGCCCCGGCACCGCTGGGCTCGGCCGTTCACAGACCCGGCGCCTCTGGGCCCGCCGCATCAGTTATGAATGTAAAAAAATTAATTCTGCCCCGGCACCATTTTCATTACAGATTAAGCCCTGTATCTACCCATCTCCATGTGTACCCCCATCTATCTATCCATCCCCCCATGCCCCGTCGATATGCCTGTCTATCCATCCATCCATCCATCCCCATATGTCTATCCATCCCCATATTCACCGTCTATCTATATATCTATCTCTCCATCCCCATGTGCACCCCCATCTATCCCGATAGGCACCCCTTATCTATCCATCCATCCCTATACGCACCCTTATCTCTCTATATATATGTCCATCTATCCTTGCTCATATACACACCCTTCTATCTATCCCCATCTGCATCCCAATCTATCTATCCATCCCCACACGCACTCTCTATATTTCTATTTCTCCATCCCCATACACACCCCCTATCTATCCCAATACACATCTCTTATCTATACATCCATCCCTTTACACACTGTTATGTCTGTCTATCCATCCAGCCTCATATACACAATCTTCTATCTACCCCCATACACATCTATCTATCTCCATACACCTCTCTCATCTAATCTATCTATCCGCATACATCCCCTTTAGCTATCTATCCCCATACGCCCCCTCTATCTACCTATCCACATACACCCCATCTATCTAATCTATCTATCTCCATACACTATACTGTATCTATCCATCCATCCACATATGTAGCCCCCATCTATGTGTCAGTCTGTCTACCTGTCCCCATCCACACCCTCTAACTATCTATCCACCCAACTTAGGAAAATAAAATCCCTCCAGGTCAATTGAAAACGTTCCCTTACTCTAGGGTGACCAAAGGGCAAGTGTGAAAAATCGGGATGGGGTGGGAGGTAATAGGGGCATATATAAGAAAAAGCGCCCAAAATTGGGACTGTCCCCATAAAATCGGAACATCTGGTCACCCATCCTTGCTCTGCAATCTAAATTTTGCATTCCAATTTTGACATTTTTATTAGATTGCGTTATAATTTGTAAATGTCATAAACAGAAAACATCCTTTGGAAAGGGGAAAATCAAGATGTTTCGTATTGAAATGCTATTCCCTCCCACCCCGAAAAAAAAAAGACATTTAATCGCAACAGGCAATGGTGGTGCTAAAGATTCAAAACTCAGAAGTGGGGCCCCACAAAAACACAAGATTGGCTAAAAATCATGAGATTTTTTTTAAATTATAAATTGTGGGTGCTTTTCATTTGGCTACATTTAGGGTCATACTTGGGTCATGTTTTGAACCGTTTCCCCACATCCATGAGAATTAAACATTTATTTTCCAAATGGAAGCCGATTTCACGTGACTCCAGGAGCTGTGGGCTTTAAGGAAAATATACATCAGTGGAGTGAGGATTGGATGCTGATCTCGGTGACCCCGGCCTGAATCCGAAGTGATCCCACGGACGCCACTGGAGTCAGGGCTGGATTCTGATCTCAGTGACCTTGGTGTGAATCCAGAGTGACTCCGCTGGTGCAAGAGAATAAGGGCTGGATTCTGATCTCAGTGACCCTGGAGTGAATCCAGAATCACACTCCACCCCTCTTAGAACTGTGTTGGCCCCCTTCCTCCACTCTGGGCTTGGGAGGTACCATTCTCATGGTGGGGGGGATGGGAAATTATCCCCAGTCTAAACGGATTTAACTCCCTTCCCAGATTAAAAAGGGGGCTGTAATGGGAGGAATTTTTATTTTTAATTTCCTGACAGAAAAAAAATATATATCAAATCTGGCTTCCCCAGAAATTTTAACCTCCCCCCTCCCAAGAGTGCAATGGTTCCTTCCAAGGGGCAGAGAGGCTCCCAGCTGATGGGATGAACCATTTCACTGATGAGGGGGAGCAGGGGTAAAATGCCAAAGGTTCAAATTTGCCCCGTTTAATTTTCATTTCTCCATTATTAAAAAATTAGAGCCTTTTAACATTTCTGTTCTTTTTAGTAAAAGGGGGATTTTTAAAATCAAAGTTCCAGTACTGGGGATTTGCATCAGGACACCACTATCTCCCCCACCCCTGTGAAAATGGAACATTCCAAAGTGTCAGTTAGGGCAGTTGGCCAGTTCCCCTTCCCACTGACAATGGAACCTTCCAAAGTGGCAGCTGGCCAGATACCCTTCTCAGTGAGAATGGAACCTTCCAAAGTGTCTGTCATGGCAGTTGGGCAGGCCCCTCCTCCTAGGTTTAGGCCACGCCCCTGACATGTGTTTGAAGGGATCGGACTCCATCCATACTCGGCTAAGTGGGGTTTATAAAACATGATGGAAAACCTCTACACACCTCAATTTAGACAAGGCCATAGGGGCCAGTTATGGGGCAATTGGCCCATAGCAGAGGCCCCACCCAATACCAAACACTACTTGGTTGCCCTGGAGCAAGGGGTGGGGTATAGGACTCCACCCCTTATGGAAAGCATCGTGAGATCTCCCACGAGACACTGCAGTAGCATTTCCAAATTGAAATATTTCCATTTTCAACTGAAATATTTCCGTTTTCATCTGGAGTTATTCAGTATTCAAATTCCACTGGAAAAATCAAACATTGTCCTCTCCCTAAAAGCCCATATTTCAACTAGCTCCAATTGTTACATTTTCAACAAAAGCTTTTCTCCCATTGGTGTGTTAGGCCTTTGACTCATATAGGGCTTTATACTTCAAAATTCACCAGTTTTAAGGAGTCTAATTAAAAACCACTCGGTTCTTCCTTTATATTAAAGGTTCCATTTATTAATAAACAATCAGGTCTCTGTTTAGCTCAATGGCTCATTGATTGTTATACCGTCCTGATAGGCCAATAACTGTGGCTTATAACCATCTATAGCATGTGCTGCTCATGTCAGTAACATCCGTATAACATGCACAGATCATTCATTAGCCTTTTGTAATATCAACCATGACCTTAATTTCTCCTCTTAGTTAAGTTTCTCTTTACAGTATCTAGAAACCAACTATTTCTTATAGTATTGGTGAGGCTATAAGATCCAGTCCTCCAGCCAACCATAGAGTCAAAGAGGAGAAGAGTGGCTAGACAAGACCTGAAGACGGATCACCATGGAGTTGTGGTATGACCTATGGAAGAACCCACCAATGGCATCTTGGTCTGTTCAAAGGGATTTCTTTCCTCTGAAGCCGATGAAGGAAGCTCTCACAGTCAATAAGCACATTAATATGGCACAATTGTAGAATGACCCTGTTTTGGGTCATCAGCGGGGTTCAAACATTGGGTCTTCCAGTGATAAAAGCACGATCCTTTACTTCACGAACTAAACACGTTAACTCCATCCACCAGCAGCTGTAATAGGCTTGTATCCTATTTTGTGGACCAGCCACACACACAATCTCCATCTATACTGTTCAAGAAGAGATTCTCTAGAAGAAAGTCCACATTCCCCATTAACGAGGTTCGTTAGACCCGCGACCTCATTAACATAATGAGGCATCTTCGTGGATCTCATCTAGGATGACCAGACAAGTGTGAAAAATCGGGACGGGGGTGGGGGGTAATAGGAGCCTATATAAGAAAAAGACCCAAAAATCGGGACTGTCCCTATAAAATCGGAACATCTGGTCACCCTAAAATTCTCATCCGACCACGTGGCAAGTTAGCCACAGGTTAGTGACGTAGCTAAGGATGGGGTGATGGTGGCAAGGTGAGATGGTTCCCATTAGGCCTCGGCAGTGCCCCAACACACATCAAACGGAGCACAAGGGCCTACAGGAGGGCGTGGCTTTCCATGGCCCAGACCTTGCCCAAAGCGGGCAACTTCCTGTGAGACCCACTTTGAGGGGCAACTTCCTGTGGAAAGACCTTGTCCTCCAGGAGCAACTTCCTGTGAGCAGGACTCACCCTTATATATAAGACTCATATAGCCAGACAACTCCCTGTCAGAGAGACTTGCCCTACAGGGGGCGACTTCCTGTGAGCAAGACCTACCTGGGGATGCAACTTCCTGTGGACAAGACCCACCCTACAGGGGGCGACTTCCTTTGAGCATGATACAAAGGGGGGGTGATTTCCTGTGAGCAAGACCCACCCTACAGGGCGGCAACTTCCTGTCAGAGAGACATGCATGGGGGCGTGACTTCCTGAAAGTGAGCCCACCTCAGGGGTGCAAATTCCTGTGGGCAAGACCCATGCTAGAGGGGGTGACTTCCTGTCAGAGATGTCCTACCCAGTGGGACAACTTCCTGTGAGTGAGACCTGCCTCGTGACACAACTTCCTGTGAGTGAGGCTCACTAGATGGATCGACTTTCTATAAGCCAGACCGTGTCCTAGTGGGGCGACTTCCTGTGAGCAAGACCTGCCTAGTGGCACAGCTTCCTGTGAGCCACAGCTGTTCCCAGGCCGGCCCCCCGCATCCCTCCCTAGTCCTGCCCCTTCTTGTGGGTCTTCTGGTGCTGGGTAAAGGCAGAGCTCTGGACAAAGCGCCGGCCACACTGGCCACACTGGTAGGGCCGTTCGCCGGTGTGGATGCGCCGGTGAGCCGCCAGGTTGGAGTTCTGGCTGAATCCCCGGCCGCAGTCGGGGCAGCGGTAAGGCCGCTCGCCGGTGTGGGTGCGGCGGTGCTGGGCATAGGTGGAGCGCTGGGAGAAGCACCTCCCGCACTGGGCGCACTGGTACGGCCGCTCGCCGGTGTGAGTGCGCCGGTGGGCAGCCAGGTGAGCCCGGCGGATGAAGCTACGCCCGCAGTCCCCACACCGGAAAGGCTTTTCTCCGGTATGGGTGGTCTGGTGGGTGATGAGGTTAGAGGTCTGGCTGAAGGTTTTGCCGCACACTGGGCAGCGGTAGCGCTTTTCGCCGGTGTGGACTCGCCGGTGCTTGACCAGGTAGGAGCCGTCATTGAAGCCTTTGCCGCACTCCTCGCACCGGAAGGGACGCTCGCCGGTGTGGATGCGCTGGTGCTGGGCCAGCTTGGCGCTCTGCCCGAAGGCTTTGCCGCACTGCCCGCAGGTGTAGGGCCGATGCCCGGCATGGCCCTGCTGATGCTCGGCCAGCGCCGCCCGCTCCAGGAAGCCCCGCCCGCAGTCGTAGCAGCGGTAGTGGCGCTCGCCGGTGTGGGTGCGCCGGTGGGCTGCCAGGTTGGAGTTCTGGCTGAAGCCGCGCCCGCAGTCCGGGCAGACGAACGGCTTCTCGCCCGTGTGGGTGCGCCGGTGGGTGCTCAGGTTGGAGCTCTGGCTGAAGCTTTTGCCGCAGTCCGGGCAGACGAAAGGTCTCTCGCCGCGGTGGATGCGCCGGTGCTGGGCCAGCGCTGAGCTCCAGGTGAAGCCTTTGCCACACTCGGGACATTTATAAGGCTTTTCGCCCGTATGCGACACTTGGTGTTGGATGAGGTGGGAGCTCTGCCCAAAGCTTTTATCGCACACCGAGCACTTGTAAGGTTTCTCTGGGGCCAGTGCAGGGAGGCTGCCATGCTGGGCTGGCTTCCCCTGGCTCCTCACTGGAGGGTCCCCCTGCTGCTGCATGTCCACCCCTTCCCACCCTCCAGAGAACGTCCCCTGCAGATCCGCTTGGGGAACATCCTCTTCAGATCCTCCTGAGGGCATCCCATGCAGATCCACCTGGGGAACATCCCCTGCAGAGCCTGCTGACGTTACCCCACACAGATCGATATGGGGAACATCCCCATCGGATTCTCCAGAGAACATCTCACACAGATCCAGTTGGGGAACGTCTCTTTCAGAGCCTCCAGAAACCGTCCTAAGCAGATCCGCTTGGGGAAGGATTCCTTCAGGTCTTCCAGACAGCGCCCCACCCAGCTCTACTTGGGGGACGTTTGCCATCGATAAGAGGTGGTGCAGTTCAGCCTTCTCCAGATCTTTCTGCGCCGGATCCCATCCCAGGCTTTCACCATCACCTGCCGGGACAGAGAGAGAGAACCCGGACGGGCTTTCTGAACTGGGGCAGAGAAGGTTGGGGATGCAGCAAAGGGTGTACCCAAAATCCCTGTCCCTGACCAGTCCTGCCCCAAAATCCAATCTGAGCACAGGGGTCTGCTCTATAGAAGACCGCCCCGCACATCCCCAGTTTCTTACCCATTCCCTGCTGGAACTGCGGCTCCTCTTTCAGAGCCCCGCCCAGTGGGCGTGCAGCCCCGGGGTAGGGGCTCAGAGCCAGTACCCCCTGCTGTGCTTCCCCAGTGACACTCGGCTGTTCTCCCTCCATCTTGACGCTCACCGCCTCCCAGCTCCGGGGGTCATCCATAGGCCAACGCCAACCTGAGGACAACCCAAAAGAACCTGTCAACACCGAACCAGAGCAAAGAGGGCTCAATCTAACAGGCGCTGCGGGGCTGAGTGTCTCTGGGGCGGGAGGCAGAGCCTGGGGCAAGCCCCCTGCTACCCCAACCGTGGGCTCCACCTCCACCCTAGCTCCGCCCTACAGTGCAATCTCCGCTATAGTAATTTACGCTGAAGGGCATCTTAGCACAGCGTTTCTCAGCGGCCATCAGGGGCTGTTCTTCCAGGCATAGCCCCCTGGGCGGTGACGGGGAGGGAGGGGGGCAAAGCAGCACCCCTCCAGGAGGGATTGGGCCCTGCCCTCTTCTGGAGCCACAAACACCAGAGGAGCAGACAGCTGGTGTAAGTTCCCCGCCTTCCTAGGACAGTGGGGCCCAGGCTTCCAGCTTCAGCCTGGGGCTTCTGGCTCTCCACCCCGGCCCCCACTGCCTCCCCCGG